GCGCACTTTTTCCCCTGGAAACCTCTGGGATGCATACTACTGTGGACACTAATGTGCAATTGGAGAAAACTTGTGAATTGTCAGAATGTAGTTTCTGATGTATTAGTAGTGTTGCATTATAAACTTTTCCCTTTACACCCTTTCTGCTATGATGCATTTCTGCCAATTTAGTTTATTTTTTTCTAGTTCATTATCAACAAGAACCAGCATTTCCTCACCCCATCCATTCAAATAAATATGACCTAGTGTTGATCCATTTCAGGTGGATCCTGGCAATGTGAGACCGATCCAAGAAGGTGATGTGAATCCCTTGCTAGAAGCTGAAAGGGAAGCTGAAGCTACCAAGCAAGCCATCAAACGAAAGATTGCACAAGCAGCTGTTTCTGACTTCCAATCTCAAAGCTTACCTGCAAAACTTCGTATTGATCCCAATGATCCCGAAGATGTGGTAAGTTTTCTTTAGTAAGTAAATTATGACACCTCCAATCCTTTTTTGTGAAGGTGCTTATTTTTACATATTGCTTCATCTAGCTATATCTCTGGTGGAGAACCATATTGACTGTTTTTCATTAAAAAAATCATAATTGATATTTTCACTTGTTAGTCCTCGATGTTTCACTGCTAAATGTTTATGGATCATTTCAAAAGTTATCTTTTTATTATGAAATTTAATCTAATTTCTCGATGACTCGACTTACTCAGTTCAGGTACTTCTTCCCATTTTGTTTCAGCAGATGAGTCAGACTTGGGTGTTTCAAGATTGAATTTGAAAACAACAGCTTCAAGTCTTAATACGCGACATTCAGAATGACTCACTGAAAAAATTCATACATTTTGGAAATTTCTAGCTTTAAAATGAATGGATTTAACTGAAGTAATAAATACTAAGATGAGACCCATGGCTTCAAAGCCAAACATGGTAATATTCTCCAGGCGTCCCAAGTCATTCGAAATACAATCATCAATTGATCAATGGTGTGTATCTGCAAAAGTGGTCTCTCATGATGTCATCACACTCATCACACACCTTAAAGCATTAGAATGCCTATAGAACGCAAATATTACTATGGGATTTGACTTTTCTATCATTAATCAGTAAAATTGTTGTCGATATTTGAAATTTGATTCACCTTAACCAGACGAGCATGTGAGGGATGATGATAAATC